CTAAAAAAAAAAATAAATAAAAAAGAAAAAAAAAGAAAAAAATAACAAAAAGAAAAAATGTCTTCCTTTGTCTACCCCAGCGGAGATAGAACCCTTACCCTGGCAGGAAAATACCGAGCCATTCGATGTACAATCGATATCCAGACTCATTTTATATCCCTTTTTACACTGACATCGCTTGGTTTTATTATTCTCTCCTGAACACATCGCATTGGCTGGAAGTTCACCATGACAAACTAAAATGAATAAATATATAATCAGCTTATAATGTAGGTTTGAGAATGAACAATGATTAAATAGGTAAATACTGTGAGCTGCGTCATAATAATTATTTTACCCAATTGTATGTTTATCACGTCATTTTCAGCTTTGATTGTTTCCTTATTATATATTTGTTTCCATGGTATTTAGATGGAAATACACACTACAGTCTTCATTAGCTCAAACTAAAGTCGAAACTTATGATGTAAAAACACCATTTCATTCCCAAGTTTCTTTGCATTCAGAATAACATCTAAGGCTATACTTACCGTTCACATCGTCTTCACAAAGTTCAACGTCAGACTCTACCAAAACAAATGCGACCACAATAACGGCGAAAACACCCAATACTCGAATTGTAAGCATGATTACTGTTTACAAATTATTGTATGAAGTAATGATGAAATGAGTCAGTATTTATAACAAAATAGCTATCTAAACCTAAATAGAGAGTATTCAAAATGACATATGCCATATCAGCAGGTGGGTCTTTGACACTTTATATATCAACGGTTGTACAGCTGTGATTTGTGAGTTGCCAATGATTTGCTAGATGAAAACGCCAGCATAGCAACAAAAGAAGTGTGTAAAGGCAGCGATTTGATTGGATTGTACGCTAGCAAATACAGATAATCAGATCCCTCGATTCTAGTCGCAACCAAATTGTTACAATCTTTCTGTCGAGAGCTCTGATTGGCTGTTTCCGTTAGTCTATTTCACAACACCAAAATAGCTATGTATACCTAAATAGAGAGTATTCAAAATGACATATGCCAGATCAGCAGGTGGGTCTTTGACACTTTATGTATTAACGGTTGTACAGCTGTGATTTGTGAGTTGCCAGGCTTGGTTTGTGTCCTATTCCTTCGCTAAGATAATAGAATTAAAGTCAAGCCCTGCTATTAGATGCCTGTGTCTGTGCTTTCGTAACATTGCTCAACCTAAAATTCCCAACATTCCGTATACCTTTTCAAAATGACAAGAATATTTTCATCTTCAGAATGTCATGTAGAAATAAAGAGGCACGTTTCTTGAATAGTTCAGGATAGTTTGAACATAGCAACAACACAATAGAAGAATTACAGTCTGAGTTTGGTGCTGCATGGCATTGGACCCACAGAACATCGTAAACATATTTGTGCAAATGTACGAAGTTTTACGAAATTTGTAAATATTAACAAGAAATATTCCTCCAAAATAGATCTCAAAAGTACAGGAAGTCCATCGACAGATTCGTCATATTCTGGTATCAAACGTATCTTGGTCAGAAACGGGACTTTTTGTGCCCAACTAATCAGTAATAGTGTCCACAGCTTACCGCCGAAATTTGAGCCTTCTTAGCCATGTGTAAATGTTTCATAAACTTGATAAATCAATATTTATTGTGCAGCGATGTCATTAGTGTTTTCTATTACGGACTTATCAAAACTTGCATCTTTGGGATACCCAAATTTTCTGAATTAGGATAAGCTTGTGAATGAAATATATAAAAAGTGAAATTCCTAGTTTGAGGTATTTTTGTATGGAAGTATAACGTTGCCAAAATTGTCGAGTGTGTTGCAGCTTTAAAATTTCAACTAAATTTGTTAAATGTTATCTGCGTTCGTGTGGAATTTTTATTGGATTTTAGACAATACTTAAAGTTGCAACACAATCCATTCAGTTCTCATTGTTCTGAAGATTATTTGCATTTATTCAAGGTCCAAATCAACTCCCGAAAGATGGTGAAGAAAAATAGTACATATTTCATTTTGCTGTTTCTTGAAGATAGAACGATTTTATCGAAAGGTTCGTTAAGTATTGTGTTAGTGCCTGTTATCTACATAAACTTAAATCGCTTTAAATTGAGAGTATTCAAAGTGACAGGTGCCAGATCAAGATTCAACAGGTGAGACTTTGTCACTTCATACATCAACATCAATTGAGAGTATTTAAAATGACAGATGTTAGATCAATATTCAGCAGGTGGAACTTTGACACTTCATACATCAACATCAATTGAGAGTATTCAAAATGACAGATGTCAGATCAATATTCAGCAGGTGGAACTTTGTCACTTCATACATCAACATCAATTGAGAGTATTCAAAATGACAGATGTCAGATCAATATTCAGCAGGTGGAACTTTGACACTTCATACATCAACATCAATTGAGAGTATTCAAAATGACAGGTGCCAGATCAATATTCAACAGGTGAGACTTTGACACTTTACACATCAACACTCAATGGAACCAATCCAACTACTAACCACTACGACTACCAACAAATATTCATAGTTTGCGATATTCACTATATTTTGGCAATCAATTTAGAAAAAAGTCTAATTCTTAGTAGAGTAGATCTTACTAAACTACAAATTATATACAATATTACATTAAAGGGATAGACCGGTTTATTTTCAACGTGAAGAATAACGCTAATTATGCGTGATCTAAACCCTTTATAATATATAGTTTCTATAAATTTACCTGGCCACTGAGGAATTGCTAAAACGTCAAATTTGCAATTTCCTTTCATAATTGATACGAGGCCGGTGTTTTCTCGTGAAAGGTTTCCTGTCGTCTGGGAAATGAATACGAACAAGCGCAGAAGGTTTTGTTTATAAATGACGAATTTTCGATCAGAAATATAAAGATAGCTTGCCAGGCAAGGTAATATACGCCCACTAGAGCTATAAAGTACGTTGTTAATGTCCATTTCGGTTCAATAGAGCTATAACGTACGTGGTTAATGTCCATTTCGTTTCAATAGAACTATAACGTACGTTGTTAATGTCCATTTCGTTTCAATAGAGCTATAAAGTACGTTGTAAAGGTCCATTTCGGTTCAATAGGGCTATAAAGTACGTTGTAAAGGTCCATTCCCTTTCAATAGAGCTATAAAGTATGTGGTAAAGGGTCCATTTTGTTTCAATAGAGCTATAACGTACGTTGTTAATGTTCATTTCGGTTCAATAGAGCTATAAAGTACGGTGTTAATGTCCATTTCGCTTCAATAGAGCTATAAAGTACGGTGTTAATGTCCATTTCGGTTCAATAGAGCTATAAAGTACGGTGTTAATGTCCATTTCGGTTCAATAGAGCTATAAAATACGGTGTTAATGTCCATTTCGGTTCAAAAGAGCTATAAAGTACGGTGTTAATGTCCATTTCGGTTCAATAGGGCTATAAAGTACGTTGTAAAGGTCCATTCCCTTTCAATAGAGCTATAAAGTATGTGGTAAAGGGTCCATTTTGTTTCAATAGAGCTATAACGTACGTTGTTAATGTTCATTTCGGTTCAATAGAGCTATAAAGTACGGTGTTAATGTCCATTTCGCTTCAATAGAGCTATAAAGTACGTTGTTAATGTCCATTTCGGTTCAATAGAGCTATAAAGTACGGTGTTAATGTCCATTTCGGTTCAATAGAGCTATAAAGTACGGTGTTAATGTCCATTTCGGTTCAATAGAGCTATAAAGTACGGTGTTAATGTCCATTTCGGTTCAATAGAGCTATAACGTACGTTGTTAATGTCCATTTCGTTTCAATAGAGCTATGAAATAGTGGCAAAATCCGTTTTAATAGAGCTAGTTCGGGTGTTGCGTGGGGCTCGCTGTTTTATTTCAAAATAACCTAGGTATAGGTAAAGAAGCACAAGAACTATGGATATACAATTTCTGACATTGGGAAACGTTGAGTTTAAGTGACAGATTCGCCAATGGGTGTTGATTTTGGCGTTGAATACAATATGTAAATGGTCTTCAGAAGTACTACAATTGTACGGAATTCGCATAATTCCCTTAAATAG